GGAGGTCCTTTACATCCTTTGTTAGTTGTATTCTTAGGTATTTTATTCTCTTTGTAGGAATTGTGAATGGCAGTTCATTCTTGATTTGGCTCTCTTTAAGTCTGTTGTTGGTGTATAGGAATGCTTGTGATTTCTGCACATTGATTTTGTATCCTGAGACTTTGCTGAAGTTGCTTATCAGTTTCAGGAGATTTTGGGCTGAGACAATGGGGTCTTCTAAATATACAATCATGTCATCTGCAAATAGAGACAATTTGACTTCCTCCTTTCCTAATTGAATACCGTTTATTTATTTTTCTTGCCTATTTGCTATGGCTAGAACTTTTGAATAGGAGTGGTGAGAGAGGGCATCTTTGTCTTGTGCCAGATTTCAAAGGGAATGCTTCCAGTTTTTGCCCATTCAGTATGATATTGGCTGCAGATTTGTCATAAATAGCTTTTATTATTTTGAGATACATTCCATAGATATTTAGTTTATTGGGAGTTTTTAGCATAAAGGACTGTTTAACTTTGTTGAAGGCCTTCTCTGCATCTATTGAGATAATCATGTGGTTTTTGTCTTTGGTTCTGTTTATGTGGTGGATTATGTTTATAGACTTGCGCATGTTGAACTAGCATTGCATCCCCAGAATGCAACCTACATGATCATGATGGATAAGCTTTTTGATGTGCTGTTCCAATCAGTTGGCCAGTATTTTATCGAAGATTTTTGCATCTCTGTTCATGGATATTGGCCTGAAGTTTTCTTTTTTTGTTGAGTCTCTGTGAGGTTTTGGTATCAGGATGATGTTGGTCTCATAAAATGATTTGGGAAGGATTCCCTCTTTTTGTATTGTTTGGAATAGTTTCAGAAGGAATGGTACCAGCCCCTCTTTGTATGTCTGGTAGAATTCGGCTGTGAACCCATCTGGACCTGGACTTCTTTTGGTTGGTAGGCTAGTAATTGCTGCCTCAACTTCATCCCTTGTTATTGTTCTATTCAGGGTTTTGACTTCTTCCTGGTTTAGTCTTGGGAGCGCGTATGTGGATATATATTTAGGCTCATTAGCTCTTGTTGCCTTGATCCTTTTACCATTATGTAATGCCCTTCTTTGTCTCCTTTGATCTTTGTGGGTTTAAAGTCTATTTTATCAGATATTAGGATTGCAACTCCTGCTTTTTTTTGCTCTCCATTTGCTTGGTAAATATTCCTCCATCCCTTTATTTTCAGCCTACGTACGTCCTTGCGTGTGAGGTGGGTTTCCTGGATATAGCATACTGATGGCTTTTTACTTTTTATCCAATTTGCCAGTCTGTGTTTTTTGATTGGGGCATTTAGCCCATTTACATTTAAGGTTAATATTGTTATGTGTGAGTTTGATCCTGCCATTTTGATGCTAGCTGGTTGTTTTGCCCATTAGTTGATGCAGTTTCTTCATTGTGTTGATGCTGTTTACCATTTGGTATGTTTTTGGAGTGGCTGGTACTGGTTGTTCCTTTCTATGTTTAGTGCTGCTTTCAGGAGCTCTTATAAGGCAGGCCTGGTGGTGACAAAATCTCTCAGCAATTGTTTATTCATAAAGGATTTTCTTTCTCCTTCGCTTATGAAGCTTAGTTTGGCTGGATATGAAATTCTGGGTTGAAAGTTCTTTTCTTTAAGGATGTTGAATATTGGCCTCCACTCTTTTCTGGCTTTTAGGGTTTCTGCTGAGAGATCTGCTGTGAGTTTGTTGGGCTTCCCTTTCTGGGTAACCCAACCTTTCTCTCTGGCTGCCTTTAGCGTTTCTTTCTTCATTCCAACCCTGGTAATCTGATTATTATGTACCTTTGGGTTGTTCTTCTTGAGGAATATCTTTATGGTGTTTTCTGTATTTCCTGGACTTGAATGGTGGCCTGGCTTGCTACCTTGGGGAAGTTCTGCTGGATAATATCCTGAAGAGTGTTTTCCAGCTTGGATTCATTCTCTCCATCACATTCAGATAAATCTGTCAAATGTAGATTAGGTCTTTTCACATAGTCCCATATTTCTTGGAAGCTTTGTTCATTTCTTTTCACTCTTTTTTCTCTAATCTTGCCTTCTCATTTTATTTCATTGAGTTGATCTTCAATCTCTGATATCCTTTCTTCTGCTTGGTCGATTCAGCTATCGAAACTTGTGTACACGAAGTTCTCATGTTGTGTTTTTCATCTCCATTAAGTCCTTTATGTTCTTCTCTAAGCTGATTATTCTCATTAACATTTTGTCAAATCTTTTTTCAAGGTTCTTAGTTTCTTTGCATTGGGTTAGAACATGTTCTTTTAGCTCAGAGAAGTTTGTTATTACCCACCTTCTGAAGCCTGTTTCTGTCAATTCATCAGATTCATTCTCCATCCATCTCTGATCCCTAGCTGGTGAGGAGTTGGGACCCCTTGCAGAAGGAGAGGCATTCTGGTTTTGGTTATTTTCATCCTTTTTGTGCTGGTTTCTTCCCATCTTTATGTATTTATCTACATGTGGTCTTTGTAGTTGGTGACTTTCGGATGGGGTCTCTGAGTGGACGTCCCTTTTGTTGATGCTGAAGTTATTTCTATTTCTTAGTTTTCCTTCTAACAGTCAGACTCCTCTGCTATAGTGCTGCTGAGGTCCACTCCAGACCCTGCTTCCCTGGGGATCATGTGTGGCAGCTGCAGAACTGTAAGGGTTGCTGCCAGTTTCTTCTTCTGTTGTCTTCATCCCATTAGGATACCTGCCGGATGTCAGCCTGAACTCTCCTTTATGAGGTGACTCTTTGGATATACAGGGGTCAGGGATCTGCTTGAGGAGACAATCTTTCCCTTATAGGACCTCAAGTGCTGAGCTGTGAGCTCTGTTGTTCTGTTCAGAGCTGCTGGGCAGGTACCTTTAATTCTGCTGCAGTGGGACTCATAACCACCTTTTTTCCCTGAAGCTCTGTTCTAGGAAGTAGGGACTTTATTTATAAGTTCCTGACATGCTGCTGCCTTTTTTCAGAGCTGCCCTGCCCAGCAAGGAGGTAGCCTACTCACAGTTTGGCAGCAGAGGCATTGCTGAGCTGTCGTTGGCTCTGTCCAGCTGCTATGTGAACTTCCTTGTGGTTTTGTGGCTTGGTAATGGTAGTCTGCCTCAGTAATGGCATACTGCCTCAGTAATGCCAGACTGCCTCAGTAGGGGCAGACTGCCTTGTTAATGGCAGATGCCCTTCCTGGGTCCAGCTGCGATTGCTGTGAAACTCTTAATCTAGAACGTTTCAGATTTCTGGTCTTTCTGCAGATGGGACCTGCCAAGCCAGTTCACCTGGCTCCCTGTTACAGCCCTTTTTTTCAGTCGAATGGATGGCTCTGTCTCCCAGGCGTTCCAGGCACCAGTTGAAATGGCTGCCCAGATTTGTGTGAGTTTTTGTGTGAAGACCCACTGCGCCAGCTGAAACAGCTGTGCTTGAGACTCATGGTGCTTTTTAGGCTGGGAATCTCCTGGTCTTTGGTCAGTAATAACTCATTTGCAAATGTGGTGCTTACTCACCCTCTGTGTTGTTCTCACTGGGAACTGCACTCCAGAGCTGTTTATATTTGACCGTCTTGGATCGACTCCTTTTTTTTTTGGACAGAGTCTCACTTAAGTTGCCCAGGCTTTGGTGCAATGGCATATCTTGGCTCACTGCAACCTCCACCTTCCAGGTTCAAGCAATTCTCCTGCCTCAGCCTCCTGAGTAACTGGGACAACAGGCGTGCACCACCATGCCTGGCTAATTTTTTTGTATTTTTAGTAGAGACAGAGTTTCACCATGTAGACCAGGCTGGGCTTGAACTGCCGACCTGAAATAATGCACCCACCTTGGCCTCCTAAAGTGCTGGGATTACAGGCATGAGCCACTGCACTGAGCCTGTTGACTCTTTTATGGGCTACATTAATCCATTTAATAGAGAACTGGATAAGGGCTAAAGAAGATCAGTAAACCTGATTCACATGTGTGTGTCCCAAGACTAGAAAAAACCTTTTTCAGAAGAAGAAGAGAATACTAACCTGAAAAGATGTTAGGAGGGCAGTGAAGTTCCTCTCCCCACCTGTCTCCTGTCTCCCCCAACCATTACCTTTTCTCACTTTATTATTAATGCTAGAAATAGTATTAAAAAGCCATAATCGTTTCTATGGGCCTAAAATTTTACATATAAAATTTTGGAGAAATCTTGCATTAAATACCCCTAGGAGAGATAATACATTGACTTCAAGTTATGTCAGTTTACAGTAGAAGGTAAGAGAAGATGAAAAATAGCTTTGTGACGTTCAGAGGTGGTAAGGGAGGAAGAGGTGTTATGAAAAAAATACAAAAATACAATATGGGTGGTGGGGATGGGGAGAACTTCATGCGTTTGACGACTTTACCCTTTATGACACATGCTAAGGGTCGGGTCATAATTCTAGGTCTCCAACTTCCAGTTTCAGCAAGTTTTTTACATAAGGTAAATAAATGTGATTTACAGAAGTTATCTTTTTGTAAAACCCAGCCTAATTCCTTTGTAACCGTTTATCCCCAAGCTCTGAATGTTTCTCTCAATATATGGGTCAGGTCTTTAAAATATAACCTGATTTCCAATCGTGAGTGAGAACCTATTTTTTTTTTTCTGTTTTTTTGAGACAGAGTCTGGCTCTGTTGCCCAGGCCGAAGTGCAGTGCCAGGATCACCATGCTTTGTAGCCTCAACCTTCTGGGCTCAAGTGATCCTCACTTCCCAGCCTCCTAAGTAGCTGGGACCACAGGCTCATGCCACAAAGCCCGGCAACATTTTAAATTTTTTGTAGAGATCGGGTCTCACTATGTTACCCAGGCTGGTCTTGAACTCATGGCCTCAAGGAAGCCTCCTGCTTCAGCCTTCCAAAGTACTGGGATTACAGGCATGAGTCACTGCACTGGCCTGATTTTCTGTTCTTTGAGTTAATCTCTGAATTTCTTGACTAAGTCATTTAAAATTAATACCAAAGGTAAATCCTTAAAGATGTAAGTAAAAAATACTTTCTTTCTTTTCCAGAGTTAATAATGGACCTAAAAAATCTTGATTTAAATCCGAAGACAATGTAGATATTCAAGGGCTCAAAAGGTAAGAATGACATATTAGTCTCACATTCTTTACTCCATATTAAATTGTCTCATTAAAATGCCTTGCTAATGTGGACATTATTTGACAGTTCAGCCACCTCCACACACCATGAAGCAGCTGTACAAAGGTCAGGTACAGGAGGGCAAGGAGGGCAATGTGAAAAGAAACAGAAAGCCATGCCATAGCTCTTAGAACTTTCAGCCAGCCACGGTCACAACTTGGATAACATGATGAAATTTCTCGACGGATACTGTCTCCCACCTTTTTAAAAAAACAGCCATGAAATGACATCTCTCTGATGTGATAGGCTCAAGCAGTTTTCAAGGAAAATCCCTTATATTAAATGTTTGAGCAACAGTTGAAGCAAAAAGATATAAAATAGAAACACCTCATTCTCAAGAGCAAGCTTCTGTTTTTTCATAAACTGTTGCTTCAAACTTCTGTTTTTTTTTGTTTTTGTTTTTTTTATATATATTTCCTTTCCTTCCTGAAAGTATCCTTAGGCACATTTTGAATTGCTGTTGCATAGCCTTTTTTTTTAAGAGCCGTCTTTGCATTTTCTGACTGAGCTTTGCATATTTTGTCTGCACCCTTGCAAATAACTGCTTTGAAGAACATGGTCTTGGGGTTTCGTCCCCTTCTTTGCCTCCTGCCAGACACATTGAGTCATTCATTCCATCTTTAAACCTGCCCTTCCAACTGAGTCTTTTCGGATGGGACATATTTCCACCTCCTCCTTCACATTCCTCTTCAGTGGTTGACTGAGACTGGGAAAATAGGCGTACAAAGCATTTTGCATTCTCTGAATGTACCACACAGTAATTCTGCTGTCTGAAAACTCTGTAATGTCAATAATTGATGCACTTGAGAAGTGGTAATTAAATTAGTTAATTATGCTGGTAAAATTACATGCAATTATGTGACTGCAGGGTATGTTTAGTAAATTAGGCTTTCCCATACTCACTACATATTGTGGTGCCAATTTTGTTCCTTGATGATTAGGTAGCTTTTGATACTTCTTAATTGATTTAATACCTGGATCTTCATTAGCCCTTGATTGCTATGCTATGTATGTCTGACATTTTTTCTCTCTGATATTTTACTGAGATCGTACATCAGGGGAACTATATGTACATGTTTGTGAATCATACATACATCTCTGTGAATTGACTCACTTATTTTTTGTTTCAAATATTTAGATGTTAAAATATCACCTCCCCCTCTCACCTTCTGGGAAATAGCAAATCCTAAATGTTGACTCATATAGAATCCAAGAACTTAACTCTTCTTGGATACTCTAAAAAAGAAAAGTGTCATGTTTGTTTTGCTTCTGAAAAATTAATACCAATAGTACTAGGCAGTAATTGAAGGAAGCAAAGAAATCAGACATTTTAAGGAAGTTACTCATTTCACGTCTTTAAATAAGAGGCAGTAATCTTTAAATAAGATACTTATTGATGAGAGCTAACTGAAAGTTTATAAATGACAGAAATTGAAAAGCTGTCATATAATGCATAGAGATTTATAGCCCCTTATGGGCCTCTCAGGAGCATTAGAAAGCCTTCATGGGTTAATGAGACTGGTAGGAAAAACCATTATTCTCATGGATGGAGCTTGTGGTTGGAGTTTCTTGGTTCAAGATTTAGAATCCAGAGCTGGAAGGAAGCCTGGGAATTGCTTGTTCCCTTTATGTAATAGATAAAGAAATGAGGATCCCATTGAATGTTTTCACAGCAAAGTAGTGACTAGGCTGGGTCTGGAATTTAAGTCTTCTGCCCCTCTGGCCAGTAGCAATATACTATACAATATTATGGCTGTTTTTTATTTTGTCCATTTCCTCTCAGTTACCCACTGTAAACCTCTGATTGACTTTTATTCATACAGGGACTAGACATATTTTTAAAAGGGCTCTTTCTTTGACTCTAAGCTGAGTATCAGGAGGCAACTTGAATTCTTTAGAAGAAAGTATATCAGCTGTAATCATCTGTATTCAAGAACTTGATACTTAGTCTTGTTTGTTGTTTGTTTGTTTCCTGAGAAGTCAGAGGAATAGTCAGCATCTGCAACTTCTCCTGTATTGTATATCCCACTCTTAATGTGAACAGTGATGTGTTCTGGTATGGAGGAGGTTTCTGGAGAGGAAAATAGCTTTGTCAGTGTTGGGATAAATGAAAGAGGCTGGCCACTACGTGGGGCTCTGTCCTTCCTCTGAGGCCAGGGAAATGGACAACCAGGCCCCCTTCCTTTTGCAAAACCTCTGCTGGTGCAGAGGTTTCATAATCTTTAGAAAACTACACCTCCGAATGGATAAGCGAAGAACACTCTGTACATTTATTGCAGGCTTTTGTGTTTGTGCTTTAATTATCAGGTAAATAAAAAAGAATACCAGAGATAAATGATAACCGTAACGTTCATTTATACAATGCTGTACACTTTCCTCAGTATTTTCACACCTTTTATCTTGGTTGATTTTTACATCCACCCTGTGGTGACAGAGAACAAGAATTATTTCCCTTTCATAGATTCTTTTTAATCTAACCCAGAAATTTGGCAAGATTTGAATAGCGAACAGTGCAGAATTATTCAACCTGATAAGTAAAGACAAGTGATATCTAGTTTTTCTTGTGCCTTATGTATTCAAATTTTTAACAAAACTGGTCTTTGATCTTCTTCAGAAAGCTTTTTCTAAGTCCCCCTGGGTTGGAGTAAGTACTCTCATAATACCTGACTATATCCCAATCACTGCATTTGTTCTTTGCTTTATATTTGTCTGGTCACATAATCACATATGACATTAGATAATGAAATCCTTGATGGGAGATGTTCTTTCCTATTATTAAACATTAGCTCAATGACTGACATCTGGTAGATGCTCAGTCCCTAGTTGTTGAATGAATGAATAAGTGTATATTGGCCTAGAAAAATCAACATTCTTCTATCATCAGGTAAGATTTAAACTCCAGTTGTTTCTATGCTTTCTCCTTCATACAGGTGCACTTATCTATCATTAGGACTATCTAGAGTGTTTTTACTATAATTATTATTATCACATGCTTTAGACATTTGAGTAAATTCTCTTTTTTTTGAGATGGAGCCTCACTCTGTCACCCAGGGTGGAGTGCAGTGGCACGATCTCAGCTCACTGCAGCCTCCCGCTTTCCGGGTTCCAGCAATTCTCCTGTCTCAGCCTTCTGAGCAGCTGGGATTACAGGCATATGCCACCACACCCGGCTAATTTTTGTATTTTTAGTAGAGATGGGGTTTTACCATGTGGGCTAGGCTGGTCTCGAACTCCTGACGAGGTGATCCTCCCACCTTGGCCTCCCAAAGTGCTGGGATTACAGGCACGAGTCACCGTGGCTGTTTTTTAAAGTTAATAAATAATTGAATATGAACTGAAAATGTTCTTGGTCATTAGGGTGACGATTTTTATTGTATTAATTTCCAATTGACTTTTACTCTTGGTTCTATCCGCTGCAGCGGTATATGACTTTAAATGTAATTACAAAACGTCTTTTAGTCTCACATAAAGCATTAGTTTGTAACACTGGTTGTATTTAAAAGTCTTTTCTCATGCCTTGTAAGGATAACATATGTGAATAGGTTTTAGTATTTTTCATATAAATTAGTATGCATACAGCTGGAAAACAAGTCAAACAAAGACATCTTTGCTAAATCTTACAGGTAGTGTAATGACTGGGGAAAAGAAGGAGGAATCATGGGAAAGAAAGGAGCACACTGGGGAATTAGAGGAGGCTCTAGTGGAGTATTGGTGGAAACCCTGCTGCTTCCCGTTAGCCCTGCCAAGAAGCAGGCAATAACACCACCTGTCTGCTTGGCAGCCACAGGTACCTCCACATGGTTCATGTTTTTCTCCTCTCCAGATTTTAAGATTTAGATTGGAGACCCAACTAGTTAAATCAGCAGGTGAGATAAAATGTTGTGAAGCAGAAAACCGCTCTCAGCCTTGCCGTATGGGGAAAGGGAGAGGCGACCTGGAGCTCTCTTCAGACACCTTTGAGAGTTTTGTAAGGGCTTCTTGTCTAAACCCTTTCCTTGGCCTCTGGGCTTCAACAAAGCCAGCAAGCTATCCTGTAAGCTGGCGTGCTGCCATTGTAACAGATGGCCAGGAGTGTAGGCAGCAAAGATACCATGCGAGAGCATTACAAGGGAGTGCTGAGGGTGAGAGCTCTAGGCACAAGCCTGGAGTCCGTCTGTCCATTAGCCAACCCTGAGCTCCGGAGCAAAGCGGGCATAGGGAATGTTTCGGCCTGCATCTTTGGCTATTATGTACTTCAGGCAGAAATGCCAGCCTTGTTTTCTGTATGTTTTACTATTATTAGGGTTCGCACTCCACCTCTGATGTGTGTGGGTGTATAAGAGATCTTAAGAGGGTGATAAAAAAGATAGGAATATTCTAAATAAAACCATGAGTGTTTCTAGTTTGCTCACTTGGTCCAGTTCATTCTGCATACTCCTGCTGTGTTAATCTTCTAAGGCACAGCTTTGATTCTGTCTCCTTTTCCCCTAAACTTTTGATGCTAGTGATGATGATGATGATGATGATGATGGCATTGATTATGATGGTGGAGTGGCTTCTCTTTGTTAACTACTTATTACGTTGTACTTTCTTATGTCATAGACAACCAGGACTCAGAAACCAACTTCCTACAAAAGCCCCATGACTCATCCATGTCAGAATTGATATCTGAATTTATTATACCTGACTGTAGAAAGAGCCAAAAAATATGCTCTAATTTGCAAATATAAGCAAACGTATTTGCCAGAGATTCTTGGTTGTCATCAGTATACAATTTGAAAAAGTAAAATCTTTTAATTTAACTCAAACTTTAGTTTAACTAAAAGTTTAATATTTTAGTTTTGAAATGTTTCTTTGTAATTTCTTTTTTGAGACAGAGTTTGACTCTGTCCCCCAGGCTGGAGTGGTGCGATCCTGAGTAGCTGGGATTACAGATGTGCACCACCACGCTCAGCTAAGT